GCCAGCAATACTTTTATGAAATTTGTATTTTTATGATATCTTTAATCATTACTCTAAGACTGTTGAAATTATAACACACAACTGTTAGGAATGTATCGTCTGTTGTCTGTATGTATGGTACTCATTCATCTGGGTTACTTCTGTGTTATTAGGTGGGTTGGATGCAAGCTGGTGTCATGCAGCTGTGGAGTGGTGTGTGTGTGCCTCAGCTGGAAAGAGGAGAGGCTGGCTGTAGCTCCTGTGAGGGGGGAGAGAAGGGCTTTGTGCTTCCTGCTCAATTGATTCATTCAGAGTCAAAACAAATACAGGTGTCCACTGCTAGTTTGAAACCCCAGGGGAGGGTAGAATTGAAAATTGCAGTGTACAACAAGCTGCCTATGGATATATCCTTTTATTTCTAGCTCTTTTTTTCTTGCTAACCCTTAGGAGCTTTTGCATTTTTATGGGATTAATATTTGTGGAGCAAATGAGCACATGTTCCCCAAGTAAAAACATGGTTCAGGGCATGTTACAAGCAATGTTCCTTCTCTGCAGCTCATAGATTGTTTGAAGCTTTTTTTGGGGACTATATTTTGCTCCAAGTGGGTAAGGCAACTGTAATAGGGATTTTTTTTTTTTTTTTTTTTTTTTTTTTGCGGGTAAAACTTTACTGTTACAGCACAGCAAACTTTATTGTTACAGCACTGCTTAGAATTTTGGCTGATCACAATTTAATATAATATCAAAGAGCATGTTATAGAAGGGAATAAAACACCCAAAGAGTATATACAGGTACTGATGCCAAAAAAAAAAAAAAAAAAAGAGGGATGAATAGAAATGCTTCATAAGACTGAAGCTTTTATTTCTAGTTTGTGTTTGCTTTATTTTTAGTTTGTGTTTGCTTGTGGTTTGGTTTAGATTGTTTTGGGTTTTTTTTTTTTGAAACTATCAAAGGCTGTTTTGGATGTGTTTAGCAGGCCTGTTTTGGTTCTCTTACGATAAACTTCAGATTTTGCAGTGATCATGGCACAGAACTTTGAGCTCTGCTTGCTGAGAGAAGAATAGAAGCACAGTGTGACTTGCATTTCCATCCAGTCGGATAGGCATTGGGGTCTCATGAGATACCAAGATAATCCTGATTGTGAGTCAAACAAACTAGCTTGCCCCTATCTGGTGGATTTGCTTTTAGCTGAGGGCATGTTTAAGATTAGGAAACACTGAAGTATCCATCAAGATTTGATGCAGGTACTTTGGCTGTGACCAAAGCCCACCACCTGACTGTGCAGGCTTCAGGAAGCTCCTGTTTGGAAAGCACGATAGGTTTTACTAGCACCAGTGTACTTCAAACTGAACATTAGAATTATTTATTTATTACTGAGAAATGTGTTTGACACAGTACAGACAGCGAATGCTGTAAAAGGAGGGGCTGCTCATCTAGATACATTATTTGGTTGAATGTTGCAAGAGTTTGGATAGGAGATACACGGGTATTGGGGGAGAGGAGGGAAAGAATGGAAAGGAGTTGATCATCAATAATCAGTCTTGAGAAATTTGGAGAGAGAGGAGGAAAAAAGAGGAATTCACTTGAAAATGTGTGTTTAAGTAAGCTGGAGAATTATGTAGACCTCACTTTTCTTTTAATTAATTTTCAACTTTTTTCTCTGGATTACTATTAGTATTAATGGTAAAATGAAATTGAAATTATTGGAGCTGTTTCATGTAATTTTGTTCACTTTACAGGTGGAAAAATTATATTTTGAGTTAGACAGAAAATACACAGGGGCAATCTTTGGAAGCTGAGGTACTTCATCAGTGGAAGGAGGGGCAGATTTTCCATAAAAAATTTCAGAGGTCTAATTAAGAGTTACCTTTTGGTGATGTGAATATCTTGTTAGTTCTGCTTTGTTATTTGTATAAGCAGCTTAGATGTGATTTTTGCTCTGATAAGTTGCAGTGTGGGAGAGCAGGGAGGAAAGACAACAGTGAAATCAGCATTGGAAAGCTGGTTGAAAGAATCGCCTGGAGGAGGGATTTAGGAAACTGCAGAAAGAAAAGGATTTCAAAAGTCAGCAAAGACAGAGCTGTTTGAAGTTGAGTCGAAGCTGTTTGAAGCTGAGTAGATGTTACCAGCTTCTGTGCTTGCCATCAGGCACCAGCACGTAGCTCAAGATTTGAAATTAAAAATCACAGGGCTTCACTGCAGCAGTTTTCCAGGATTTGCCTATGAGGTGGGATGTGGGAGTAGAAGAATGCCTGTGTCAGGAGTGGAGCAGCTTTTGGTATCTAAACCCTATGTTACCTGGGAGGATCCATAAGCACCATTTTGATATTATGTTAAATTCAGGTATTCACAAGGAATAAAATACACTTAATCCTCTGATGAAGAAAGAAAAACTGGAATTGTGGAAGATATAATTGATTTTTTGGATTAAATTTATTGTTCAGAGCCCATTCCTCTATCCTCAATACACTGACACCACAAATCCCATGTCTACTCAGTATTCAGTCTTGCCAGGTTTCTTTTGATCATATCCTTTTCTAGCAAGGTGCTTGGTACACAATTTTAACTCCAGGTGTTTTGTGATAGCTGATTGCCAAGCCAATCTCTTGGGTCCCTTTGTTCTCATGGTCTTTCTAATGTATTTAGTGCATTGAAAAATTTTCTTTGTAAGAGCCTTAAAAATGATAATATTGTGCATAACTTGACATGTCATTAAGCATCAGAACATCTTCCACCATACTCTTAAAGTCCAGCATTAAGCTCAGAAACCAGGGCAACTCCAAGAGTACAATGACTTTCATAGGGAACAATGAACGCAGCGGAAAGCAGCGGTGTTTGTAAGGAGTAACTTTTGTCTCTTACTTGTCTTCTGCTTCTTTTTTAAAATGGGATTGAAAACAGCAGCATCAGTAAGGAGACTGGTCAGATAAACTAAGCATTGATTAGTTCCTGATGTGGTAAAACTACACTTTCTCTGCTGGTGCAGTATTTTAGTCATGTTTGTAGAGTTTCAAACTGAACAGGTCTTGATCAACTGATTTAAATGCTTTGGGATTAAGATTTTGTCATGTGTGTTGTATGTTTTGTCCTCCCCCCGAGATACTTTTCCCCCATTTTTGAATATATGCTTCTACTTTTCCTAATGTCAAGAAAATAAGAATTTTTAGACTGGAAGCTTATTGCATCTATATTTGATCTGCAATTGCCAAAGGTTAAGCACTACAGGGGATGAGTGGTTAAACTGCTCACAAGTGCCTCGCAGCTAATTGCTCCTTCATCTCTGCTCTGTATGTGTTTTGCAAAATAATTTTATCCACAATTAGTGTTTATTTACAAGACATGCAAACAAATGGTGGTACTGTGCATACAGATAGGCTGCAAAGTGTAGCATTTAGCACTGTAAGGAAAATTCCCATTTCTGAAAGCAGTTAACTGCAATGAACCTACATTTTCTTTTTTAAAAAGATGTTTTTTTCTTTTCAGAGGCAGGAATACTCATTTGTGTGTCACAGCATCATACTGCTCCTTGAAAGTGAAAAAAATGTATTACCTTTAAGCAAGGCTGATACAGACTTGACATTTCAGCAAGAGCGAGCAAGCTGGGGTTCCCTGCAAGCCTTCCTTTGGTTTTTGTTTTCTTTTCATTTCAACAACTTTTAGCAAGTATTTTCCTATTGTGTAAAGTTTTACCGTAATGAAAATTATGGTAAATTACTTCTTAGAGATCAAGAAGTCAGGAATGTCTTGAACTTGCCATCTGGGTCATGATACACCTTCAAGCTGTTTTTGTTTCTGGGGAGGCAGCAGTTATTTGTAAAGACATGGTGCACCTGATGTGAAACTCGGTGCTTATCCAGCAGTGGAAATACTGTCTCTGAGTATCAGTCTTACTGACCCCAACCTCGCAGTGGGTGGATAGTGTTTGTGGGAGAAGATGTGCTTCCATCAAAGTCACAGTGTCTTTGCTTGGTTGGAACAAGAGTTGTCCCGTCTTGCATGGGTTTTCTCTGTGTGAACCCAGGACTCTCAACCGATGCAAAACTGGTCAATTTGTGATGAGATTCTCATGTAGAAAGTGGAAAATGTGTTTGGGCTTGACTGTTCTGAGATTGCTGATAGTAACCCCACAGCATTTTGGATAACACAGACTTCTGATTAAGGTTATAAAAACTTGGTAGTGGAATAGCTGTTTATTTCAGCCGCATCACTGATCAAAGGAAGGAAGCTGTGGTACAAGTCTTAGGATATCTTTGGCTGTTAAAAGCTTGTACTGAGCTCTTAGTGCTGGGTTTTGCATGCCTGCAGCTCTTAGTGCAAATCATCTGTTTTCTACAGGGCTGGTGGGACAGATGGTTTGAGGTAGGCTTCTAGGGGCAGGGGGTTGTGTTGTGCAGTACCAGAGGGATGTGTTTAGTATGCATCACTGTATCACTGTGGTACAAGCAAGCTTGACTTGCCTGTCGGAGACAAAGTTTTTCCCTTGTATTTCTGTCACAGCATTTCTAATATATGCTGTTTGAACAGACTGCCTTTAGCAGTAACAGCTTTGTAGATTTATAGCAGGCATTTTGTTTGTGCAAAGACTTGGTATCTGACAGAATGCACACTCTTAGCCAGCAGATTCATTATTTACAGCAGAGATGCTGACAGGTAGAAAAGGAAATGGGGGTCTCATGTTTCAACTGGGAGGCATATGTGTTATCAATTTCATCCATAAAGTAGTCTCTTTTTAAAAGAAGTGTGGTATGCCTAGGGGTGAAATATGCTTATGGCACCATTGGTTCTTATTCATATAGTTCTGCAGAAAATGCTCGTTGTGTCACGTGTATGTGTACAGAAATAAAAGGTATGCCTGTGTGTATGGTTGTATCTCTGGAAGGCAGTCAGGTGTTTTAATTCAGTCAGTAATTGCAGAGTCAGTGCTGGACTCTGGTTCCATACCTCTCAAGTCACATTGCAAGATACGGATGGGGGCTTCTGTGCTTTGCTAATCTGGTCACTGTTTTCTTTTTTTGTTTAGGGTAATAAATGCAGGGAAGAGCACGCACAATGAGGATCAAGCCAGCTGTGAAGTCCTCTTTGTCAAGAAGAAAGCTGGAGGCAGTAATTCTACACCAAACAAGAACTCTTCAACAAAACGGAGGTCATCACTGCCCAATGGAGAAGGTCTCCAGCTGAAAGACAATTCAGTAAGCAAACTTCTGTAGCTTGTCAGTAGAGACATACAAAATAATATCAAAGTGTGTAAGAATCTGGCATTGAAAGATGCTTTCTGAGTATTTAATATATTTTCAGTTACCTCTTACTGATTATCTCTACTTAAATGCAGAACATTTCACTATATTTTTCTTAGCTCTACTACTTAACTTTTTGTCTTGAAAAATGCTCCTTGCATCTAAGATATTTTAGTTTAAAGATAGGCAAGGAGATGCTCCTGGATTTTTGTTTTTGTTTCATTTCTGAAATATAATGTTGAGAAATTTGAAGATGAGGAAAGGGCTGGAGCACATCTTCCATGAAGACAGGCTGTGAGTTGGGGCTGTTTGGCCTGAAGAAGGGAGGCCTCCAGAGAGTCCCTAGACTGGCCATCCAGGACCTAAAGGGAATTGGAGAGAGGCTTTCAAAAGGACCTGTAGTGACAGGAGAAGGAGTAAGGACTTCAAACCAATAGAGGGTTTAGATTATATATTATATATATTAGGCAGAAATTTTTCACTGTGGGGATGGTGAGGCACTGGAACAGGTTGCCCAGAGACATTTGGCCAGGTTGGATAAGACTTTGAGCATTCTGGTCTAGTGGAAGGTGTTCCTGCCCCTGGCAGAGGGGTTGAAACCAAATCATCTTTCATCCTAAACCATTCTATGTTTCTGTAATTTACACAGATGCCCATGGTGCCACAAAAACACAGGTCAACCTCCATCTGCTCTAAGTTTCTGTACTGTCGTGTAGGCACATTTGTGCTACATGGAGCTCTTTGGACACTGCACTGGCAGCTTTTTCCACTGTGCTTACACAGGGGTCAGATAAAGAACTGTATGAACCATAAGGGCTGTTAAAATGTGTCTTGTATCTAAGCCATTAAACCACATCTTCAGTCAATGTTGGAAAGATACTGCATTCTCTAATTTAATCAACTACCGAAGCAGGATACTCTTCTAGTTTATGCAGGTAGGGTAAGGTCATCCAGCACATAGAATTCAGCGATTTTTGCAGACTATAGCTTCCCTCATTTGTGTGAAGTGTGGTGTAGGTCATACACTTGTCTACTGGCAATTGTCTGCTATTTTTCATCTGTCTTGTTTCCTGACTGGCTAATTACTTCACCTGCTCTTTAAGCATGAGCTCAGCCTCCAGCAGTGATTGATAGTGTGTGTTCAATTCCAACATTTCACCATGTAATACTAAATGGCCTGTATGAATGTTTTAGTCAGACAATGTGGATAGGCTGTATTCCTGCTACTGGAGAACACAGGTTGTCCCTAAGTGATAAGTAGTTTTTCAATGGACTGTAAGTAGCCTTTTTTTTTTTTTTTGGTAGTTTGGAGGTTTTTTGTTTTGGTTTTGCGGCTTGGTTCGTTTATATGTTTAGGGTTTTTTTGTTAGTTGGTGTGTGTGTGTCTATTTTAAATCAGGTGGTGATTAGCTGTCTGCTTTAGTCACTCTCTCAGAATTCCACGGCTTGGTACACCTGATGGCTGCAGGGTTCATTGAGGTCCTGAGAAACAAGCATTCCTCTTGTACTGTGTCCCTCCCAACCTCTTGCTCCTCCAGTTCTGTTTCATACTTCATTATTGCTGCAACATTTTCAAACTGACAGATCCTGAGGGTTTGCAAATTGCCCCGTTCTTTCCTCTTTAAAAATCTTTCTTTAAATAAGTGTTTCAATTCCTGTGTGCTGATATTCCTCATGATTTCTTTTTTCAAGTACATTTTTTGCAAACTCCTGGATAAAGAATTGTGTCCAGAACTTGCTGGGACTTGGAGTTCTACATACAGTCATGCAAAGCAAAACAGAATTTGTTTTAATTAGCTGTGTATTTAAAATTCTTTCCTAGAAAGTCCATGCAACTGCCTGCTGTTGGTTTAGGAAGGTGCTTGGTTTCAGGAGTGTATTTAACTTTTGTATGCATTAATTATGTTTAATGAAGCAAGCATTTCGCCACAGTACTTGTTTGTGTATAGAAATAACAAGAAGACAGCCACCTTGGTCCAGGTGATGGGTTTGTTTGACACTAAGGGTATCACTGTGCCATGCACACAGGCACACTGCAGAGACCCCTGTGTGCACACCAGCCTGGCTACACACATCTTGATGCTGTGCAGAGATATGAGGTTTGGTCTCATACCACATTAAAAGTTCCAGACCCACCATGTGAGATGCATGGTAAGGGGCCTCTGCACCTGGGATGTGGGTGAATGTAACTGTGCTGAGTTTGCCTGGTTTTGCATATTTTAGGGGCTTGCATGGGACATAAAAATCTTCATAGCATTGTTTCACAAAGCTTGACTAACTTCAGTATCAAAACTTCTCAAGAGCAAAAGCCATGACAAATCACCTTCTTCAGAAGGAACTTTTTTCCCAGACATTATATAGTTAATAAGATTGCATTAAAGATACAGGGTTCTAAAATAGTTTTGTTATTGGAAAGGCATCTTAACTAACCTTGTTGTTATCCATTGTTACAGTTGATGTACTGTTGTGGCAATGTAATGGTAGGGTCAATAAACTTTATGTTTTTAAAATCTGTTCTTTTTATCCATTTGATATTTCATGATGTTGGTAAATATCTCCTCAGTAAATATCTACTTACACAGAGTTTATGAGAAGTATCTTACGGAATGTTCTGATTTTTCTTTCTCTTTTCGCTATTTCCTAGTTCAAGTCTGTATCTTTCATCTTGATTTTGGAAGAAAAAGCCACTCCCTTTCAAGTTTCTTGAGAGAAACACTTTTATTTCAAATCCTCTGTTCTTGATTCTATTTCTGACATATTTTAACAAGATGGGAACATTACATCGAAATTCAGGAGCCAGCTGATCCATATAATAGATTGTACTGTTTTCTTGTTACTTCTTATTATTTATATGTTCTCTTCTTATCTACGGATTCACTTCTGTTTTCTACATGGCACTGATATAGGTGCTATCACACTCATTATTTAGTTGTGGAAAACCTATTCTACCATGTCATTAGACCACCACTTATGTATTTAAATTTGTAATATATTTTCCCAAAACAGGCAGCACATTCCTGGAGAAAGTTTTCTACTAGAGGGCAGTCTTACACTAGCACATAGTAGGATTTTTTCCTTGCTACATCTTTTGTTGGTTGAATATATCTAAAAACAGGGAGGAAAAAAGCACATTGCTATGTTGTGTCTTTTTTTCTTATATATTTTTTTTTACTGTGAGGTATAATACTCCTCACATAGCACTGTGGGCAAATGTTTTTTAAGGAGTATATGAGGTTGATGTTAAATGTGATAGCCGTACAACTTAATTTGTATGAATAAGATGTAGAAATACTGGCTTTAAACACTACAGTGAATGATAGAATATCATCCCAGGAAATATTTATTAAGAAAGCCAGAGACTAAATAGTGTAAATGCCTCATGAGGAAATCCCACTGTAACATACCATCTGAAATTCTCTCTATGTCGTAAAGCACCTTGCAGAAATACTGACAGAAAAAGGAATGAGGGAAGGAGTTCATTGAAAGGATTTTTTTAAAGTGTGGAGCACAAGGGAAATAGGCACTGAAATGTGAACTTTATGTAACAGTGTCCTTTTCATCATCCTCAGATTTTTATTTTCCACAGACTCTCTGAGAATGGCACATGCCATTTTTGTTTTCTCCCGCATTTTGGGAAGTTTGTGAAACATCAGCTACATCTGTGTGATTGTTCTTTAATGCTAACCCCATCGATCCAGCCCTGTGCTTTGGCAAAGCAGCATAAGGGAGTTGGAGATCCATGTGTTGTCCACAAAACTTGAATGCCACTACCATGATCGTGACTCTCCACACAGATTTACAGGCGTGGAAAGGAGGAGGTAGGCCAGAAATGCAGAAATGGAGAAGTAAACATTTCTTTTACCCAAACACACAAACAAATTCTGGGAAGTCTATTCAATAGCATAAACATGGTTTTCTTCTTGAAAGGGTGGGTAATAAAATGAGCAGAGCAGTGAAAGGAAAGACTCTTTAAATTCAACCCTAAGTTAATTCTCTCCCCTTCCCCCCATGCCACTCCATTGCTGCTTGATTAATTGTATCTCCTGTCTGTCCCCATTCAAGAACATTCCTGTTAAATTGCACATCTTTTTAATTTGTACTATTTTTAAAGGCCTTTAACTACAGAGTACCTTCATGATGATTGCTGAAAACCATCAGCAAGCGAAGTGGAAATCATGTGCCAGGATATTGTCATAGTGATAATCAGGCTGCAGGACTTAATGTGATGCATTATTAATTGTCACTGTAATGTGAGGATACATAATTACTAATTCTGTAGTCTTCTTTGCCACAAGTCTGGGATATTGTATGTTTTGTGTAGCATAAGGCTGGTAGCCTACCACAGGCAGCTGAACATATTGGTAACATGAGGAAGCTTTGCTCTGAGGATTGGAGTGGCAATTGCTGGCCCAGTTCAGATTTTATGAGAACTCAAGTTGCTCTCTTAAGTGCTTTGTGACTGTAGCTCATATTTGGAATAATAACAGTCAGGGTAGGTTGTAGTTTCCAGAATAAATCTTTAGTGGCAACATGATTTATTTGCCTGTTTGGAATTAGCTCCATAACAACAATCTGAAGGTTTGCAATGTAAGACTGCTGTCTAGTTTACCTGAAAAGCATGTCCCGAAATGATCACTAGCTATTGCTAAGGTTTTTTCCTTTTTTTTTCCCTTCATATAATTGAGCTCAATTATGTATGTATATATATGCACTTTCTCTCATGATTTCTCATCCATTGCTTGACCCAAAACTTTGCATGTCTTAATTATCTTTTACAATTGCAAAACCCAGGAGACTGTTGAACCTTCCTGAAAGCTAGGTCAGCAGTTGAGGAGCCTGAAGCTTATTAAATTTCCTAGTACGTTCTGTACTAGGAAATTAATTGTGAGGTTGGTGCAGTGAAGGATTTGTTTTCTCTTCTTGTTTCTAGTTATTCAGCCTGTTTGTTAGGTTAGGATCTTTTGAATGAAAATCTAAAATACATCACTGTGGTGACTGACTACACTCATATTTGAAGATTCTGTCCAGATAAAAGAAGAAATGAAGACTGGTGTTTGAAACAGACTACTTCTGATAGAATACTGCCAGTGCTAGTAAAAAAAGTTGTCTTGTTCTCTGAGTTTGCAGAATGTCAGTTCTTTTTGGGAAGAATTTCAAGCTCCCAGATGTAAAAGAGAGCAAAGAGCAATGCATATGCGCACCAAAACAGGTAACTGCTTGGTGGCTGCAGAGGTCAGCTCAGCTGTGTGAGGAAAAGCAAGGACCTTTCTGTGCATTTTGCCTCATCTGCATGCCCTGACTACTGGCCCTTGTTTGTTCACTGAGTCGCTGCCTTAATTGCATCATATTTTTAATTCTCATTGAATTGGTGTGGTTTTGGGAATTAATTTCTTTCAAATAGAGGAGCTGTTTTTATTCTCAGGGTGGGGGGAAAGAGTTTGTTTTTCCTTCCTTTTTTAGACAGCTAACATATTATCTGTGGTTTTCCTCTTTGCTAGTTCAAAAGTAAATGAAGCTTTGTAGGAATACACAGCAGTTTTTCAAGACTAATATTTAGGTTACAGTAATGCCTGCAGATCCCAGCTGAAGTTAAGGCCCTAGAGCATCTCACACAGAATGTCTGTATGAGAGCAGCATTGTGGTAGTCATCTCCCCTGAGTGCTCAGAATACAGACTTTGCAGTTATCTAGGGTGCTTCTGCTGTTGCTAGGGAGAAATAAATCTACTTTGGAATGAGATGAGCATAGTCTAAAAATGTAGGGGTTTTTCTGTCTGCCCAACATAAGGGCAATTTAGAGAACTGTCTTGGAGGTGTGCAAGATAGTGTGTAGATGTCTGAGCTTAGCTGAACTGGTAGCAACGTCCTCTTTGTTCAAGAATTGCTACTCCAAAAAGGACAAGAGCAGTGGACCACCATAACTGATGTGGACGTGACAGGGTGACATGTCAGTGAAAGTCTGAGATACAGCTCAAGTCCGTGTGAACTTCTCTGCCCAAAGTTGTGCTGCCCATTGGCTTAGAGGAAACGAATGGTAACATTTCATTTTCCCTTTTTGTCAAGGGCTATTTTCATCTGTTTTACAGCATCCCAGTCTCATCTTTAACCCCCAAACTCACATGAGGCTTGATCAGTATAGGACATATCCAGAGTTGAGATCATCGTAATGAGAATAAATTCTTTTAATAACTGTTGTCTTTATCTTCTGAAAAGCTGTAACACAGACTTTGCTGGGGGGTTTGCTTTGGAGAACTCACGAAAATGGAGTGCAGATCAAACTTGTTCTTAATTGTAAGTTTCTGTTCCAGTTTGGAGGCATGGGGAGAACAATGACAAAATATTTGCTTCCTTTTGGTGGAAAATAAAATATTTCAGTCTCAATCAGAGTTGAAATGCCTTGGAGATTTCCCCCCTACAAAGAGGGCACATTTCCAAAGGAGTAGCACCTTTAAAGGACATGAGGACAAAAACCGTGGAAGCATTATCCATGGTACATCATAACATGGATTTTGGCCAGGGAGACAAACTCTTAAGAGAAGAATGGGAGCAGAAGTGGTTTGATATACAAATCCCAGGAGGTGCAATGTAGTTATTTTGAATAAATGGTTTCAGTTTTCAGCTGAAATACTTCCACTTTGGAAAATTTGTTTCTGTTGGCAAAATACTTTGCATTTTACATTAATAGCAATCTATTTTTACAAGCAAGTTTAAAATTGCTAATCCAGTTAGCCATTAAAAATTACATAGAATTTTACAGCAAATTGTTGTGAACTTGGATGGATTCTGAGCCCAGAGCAAGGTAGTACAACTGCCAGTCCTGCCTTCAGGTGGGAAGTTTCACAACTGTTTTTTTGATGAATTTGCCAGGCTGGGTAAGTGTGGGGGGAGAAGGGAGTGGTGTCTAGCTAAGAAACCATGTTCAGAAATGTGGACATATCTTGGTTTTTCCACCATTCTAGGATGTATCCTGTGTTATCCTTACTGTGGTAAGTAAACAGTACTTGAGAACAATACCCCCTTATGACAGCATTTCAGTAATGAAGAGTGCATGAGGGACTGATGAATTCCTCCTCTTGGAGGAGCTCTCTGCTGTGTAGATTACTATGATCTTGATGCTTTGGTTAAGAATATATTTGAACTTTACTTCATCAGCAATACTGTATGCAAAAAAAAACACCTCGACTTTTATGTGATTTTTATTATCATGGCACCTTAGTGGAGTGGCTGAAACAGCAGAAAGTAAAAGGAACTGCAGTTCACAGCCCTATCCATAAATTTGAAATAGGCAGTGCTTTGGACAGGAGGAGCTGGGCTGCAGGTGCTGCCCAGACTTTATGCTGATCTATAGTGTAAGGGAGCAGTGTTCAGATGAACAAGTCACATCTCTCATCCTAAATTAGACCACATGTAATTTTGAGGTTCTTTGATTGCAGTGAGATCTAGGTTATGCTTTCTTATTACAAGGTATTTTACAACAGTATAGCCTCATTCCTGTCCCTTGCAAAATTGTTTCTTTCTAAACCTGTATTAGTCCACCCACATCCGACTTGCAAGGCAGCCCCACTAACAGCTGTTTCTGCATAGCTGGGAGAAGGTGCAGGATTAAAATAAATGGAGGGGAAGGAAAGGCAGGAAAGACTTTCCCCATGCTGCTGCCAAATATGCTGTCATGCAATGGTGGGTATCATTTAAGGCAATCTAAATGATTACCTAAGGATTGGTAGGCGAATTTCTCTCCATACAAAAAGTTGAGCTTATCAAGAGTATGGCTCCTTGGTATTTCCCAGGCATTTTGGAGCTTGTGATGCCCAAGGCTACTCTGCCTCCAGCCCTGGGTTAATGCCCTAAGTGATAGGGTCCTCCACCATTTCCAGTACTATACAGGAAACTTTTTAGAGGACTGTGAAGAACCAGGCAGTGAACATAGAGGCTAGATCAGATGAAGTGCAGCTGTCATCCTCGAGGACCCCTGTGCTGGTGCTGTTTCCTGGGCTGGCACAGGCAGGAAAAGCCTGAGTTGTCCCATCTGCCAGCACGGATGGACCTTATCTACCAGCTGTGGAAGTGGAGTTCACATTTGTTGATGGACATCAAACTGAGGTCCTTTGTTTCATGCCTAGCAAGTATCAGGTGCTGTCTTGTGTAGAATTTTGATCTTTCATAGTGGCAGGTCTATCATATATACAAATGCTGTTCCTCTACAGCCTATGATGGCTGTAAGGTAAGAAAGATTGTAAGTTCAATTTTTTTCTTGGGCTTTTTTTTTAAGAGGTTAAGGAAAAGAAAAAACATACTGGGGAAGTGTGGTAAAAATAAGCATCTCTTCTTTCAACCAGAGTTGTACTGACACTGTGGGTATTTCTGTGTTTCAGAAAGAATGTTACCTCTGGGAAAGCTATCTGTGTTTCACCTGCTGCCTCTGTGCCACCAGTCACAAAGGCAGCAGGTGACAAACACTGAGCATCTCTTTTCCTTTCTTTTCTCCCCCTCTTGCTTCTCCAGGACACAGATGGGATCAACCTGTACTACTGGTCCTTGTTTGATGGACATGCTGGCTCAGGGGCAGCTGTGGTCGCTTCCAAACTGCTGCAGCACCACATCCTGGAACAGCTGCAGGAGATTGTGGACATCCTGAGGAACACAGCTGTCCTCCCACCCACCTGCCTGGGAGAGGAGCCTGACAACCCCTCCAGCAACAGCAGGACACTGACACGGGCAGCCTCCCTGCGCGGTGGTGTGGGAGCCCCGGGCTCGCCCAGCACGCCCCCAACACGCTTCTTCACGGAGAAGAAGATCCCACATGAGTGCCTGGTCATTGGGGCCATAGAAAGTGCATTCAAGGAAATGGTATGTATGTCTCAGGGCTCTGAGTCCTTGTTGTTTACATTGAGTCACATCACCTGGAGATCATGAAGATTAGGTTTTTTTTTCTTTTTCTTTCATTGCTTTAACAACATCTGAGTGTGAACAGAACTGTTTAAGCACTCAACAGCCTACCAGGTACACATACCCCTGTGAGGCTGGAGCTGCATCTTAACTCCCAGGTAGCACTGTGACAGTGAATTTGAATTTTCAATCTATAATACTCTTCTTTTTAATTTTCTTCTCCCCCTCCTTTTGTAAGATAAAGATCAATATTGCCTTACAGTGCAGATTTCAGCACTGGCAGTTATCAGGCTGAGTATGTGGGCATGCACTTGATAAAGCCTCATTGCCCTACCAGAGCAGCAGCAAAGGCTGCTTGGTCCAATGACCCAGAGTTCACATTGGTGTTGGAGTAGTGTCTGCAGCTCTTCACTGAGGCAAATTCTGTGCGTGAGTGGGGCATGAAGTTCATTCCTACCACCTTCCTGACTTGTGTACAACCTGAACAACTGTCAGGAAATCACGACCCTATGGGAACAGAATATTCATCTATTTCCCTATGGAAGCTGTTTTTTCCTCTTCTATAGTTGATGTAGTTCCTCCACAACTTCCCCCCCTCATTTCTCCACATTACTGAAAGTCATTCTTGTCAGGCAGAGCAAAATTTTGGCCTGCCAGTAAGTACATGTGGATCAGGTTTTGGGAGGTCTGATAGTGTTGTGTTTTTTTTTAATTTTGTTGCTGTAGTTTTCAGAAAAGCCTCTTATTTGAAAAGAAGGACTGTGAACTATTCAGTGTTTCCCAGTGGTTTTATTTGTTGTCTGAAAAGAAATATCTGATCATTGTTTTTCTTGATGTATGTGAATTTCGTCCAGTACATGCATTTAATTAGAGACTACAGCTGTTGTTACAAGTAGTACTTCACTTTGAGTTCTGAAAACCAATTATCTTTTGCTGGATTGTTCTTTCTTCCCAAGGAAGTGCAGGCAAGCAGACCCACCAGCTGGGTTTGGACTTGCAGGTGGGTAGGTCCAGGAGCAGCATTCACAGCCATGGGTTAGGCATACTTCAGTGGGGGTTGTGTGGGCAGGTTGTGCACTGTGGGTAGTGGGCTCAGTTTCTGCTAGATGAAAAGAAAGAGGATGCATGAAAATCTGTCAGTTTAGCACACCTTTTCAGAAAGGGAGGACGAGATTGCTCCCTTCTTTGTTGAGAAATGAGGGAGAAGATGACCATGCCCATCCACTACACCCTAGTGGCCTCAGAGCATGCTTAAGAGGAACACTAATTTCATGCTTCAGTTGGTGTAATTCTGAGGCCAGAAGAGTGCCAGCCTCTGAGAGCATGGCAGGATTCTCTCCTGTTTAAACTGTTTCCAAGTGCAGGCAAGATGAGAAGTGGAGTTTAGTGGGACTGGGCAGTGAAAGTAACAGAGTGTAGAAGGGCTGTTTCTCTACCTCTCTTAGGAGAGCAGCACGTGCATTTCCCATTGCTGCCTTCCTGAACGTGTCTGAGTGAACAGGGCTGTTATTGCACTGCTTTATTTTGACTTCACATCTCTGGTAGGTTCACAGAGAAGACCATCTCAGCTTATGTTCAGAGATCTGGTTGTGAGGGCTTTTGTGGGTAGAGTATGACAAATGCAGAAACACTGGATAACTCACTACAGTTATGGTGTTCAGGTATTCATTGCATAGCTCAGGCTAATCTGTTCTCTCTGTTTCTAAACAGAACATTTTCCTCACTGCATCTTCGATCACATGCTACATATCAAGTATCTTAATTCCCACGTGCTTTATATTAGAGGGCTGAAGTTCATCATTGTCTTTGATAAACAAATGACTACTCCAATGCAATGTAATTTCAGCATTAAGTTTTACAGGAAATCTTATAAAAATGGCCAGCTTAAGGAAAGCAGTAGATAATTAAATTGTATCTACTTTAAGCTCCGAGGGGAATTTTGGACTTATACTTGGTTTAGGCAAAAGAGTTTTCTTTCATCTGTGTAAGGGAGCAATTCATAAAATCAGCATTTCTGTGTCTCATCTGTGCTTGCAGTGCTTGATCTTTCTCCTGTCTCTATTTAACTTCCTGCTAGCTTATACTCCTTCTAGTCTTTGCATGAAGACTTTGGACCTCTTCCACAGCACATTGTTTAATCAGCCCTTGTTTGTACTGGAACATGATAGATGTTGTTGAGTTAGGTCAGGGCAGTCAAGATGTGCAGTGTGTTGTACAAGGGTTTTGTGCCAGCAGAGTGTACCACTGTAGCTGGCACTTGAGGAAAGCTCATGTTTCCTGGACACGTTGGCAGACTTCTTGGTGGTTTTTCCTGAATCATCAATTGCTGCAAAGGATTCTTGTGAACAGAGTGAAAGTAACAAGTAGATAAAGATACTTTTTTAAAGAGTCCGACATGACAGGTTTATCTAATGATGACTTATCCTCTTTTCCTGGGAGCATTTTTTTTCCCTATTTCCATTATTTTTTTTCCCCAACTTGCTTTTGAATTCTAGTTAAGGTCTCCCTGTTTTTTCCTCAAGTCTCAATTAAATGTGATTCATGGCTTTCAAAAGGCTTTTTAAAATTATTTTTCCTTTATTGGATGTGGGGTTTTTTTGACAGTTCTTGTCTAACAGCTACATGCAGTAAAACGCTGTGGAAAGCTGACACAGATGATCATTGCCTAACTTGGACATTTAGCAATTAAATTGTCTCCATTTTGAAGTACATCTAAATGATGTTTTCTGTGTTGAAACTGGAATTAGGAAGTTTGTGCTGTGTTTTCAGATAATTTAATGCTCTGTCTAAAAAACAGCAAATGTCAGTAGTTGTCATTATCACAATTGTTCCAGTTAAAAGGAAATAAATAAGCTCAAGTTCTGAAGGTGCCATAAGTCAAATCCTCTAATTTTCATCTGTTGAGTTTTAAGATGTGCATTTATAGATTCAATTCAAAGGAGCCAGGAGTGCAGTTCCATACTGGATAGAAACATCAAATTATTGTCCTTTCCCTGTATTTAACCTTGTATACATGTGTGATGCTGTATGTATTTGCAAGAAAGGTTAAGAGGAGAGAGCACCTTTTCTACTCTGAACCCTATTTAACTTTAAATGGCAAGAAATGGTACAGAATTAGTCTGTATGATTTATTGGGAGGTATACATCTGCATTCATTGTAACATGATTTTCTTTTTTTATTGAGGTTTTTTTTTTACTTAGATGAAATCTAGACAGGTGCTTTTTCTAGATTGGTGCCGTTTTAATTAATTGAACAGTCTTGAGAGAATGGCATGTGTTGTACAGTTCACTTTTTTGAAAGTTTCCTCTCATTATATAGCCAGTAGAATTGAGAGTTTAAATAGAATTACAGGCATTTGATGTAAAGCATGCTAAGGAGTTAATTTCATGTTTATGCCTTCTGAAACTTTTTTTTTACCAGATACCTAATACTGTGTGTGTAAAGCTGCTTTCTGTCATAGCAAGGCTGAGATCCTGGAGGAAAGGCTGCTGCTCTGAGGATAAATATAGGTGAAAAGAGGGGGAGAAGAGTGTGGCCAGCAGGTTGAGGAAAGTGATGCTCCCCCTCTCCTTGGCCCTGAAGTGCTGTGTCCAGGTCTGGCCTCCTGCTGGAGAGGGTCCAGCACAGGGCAGTGTGATAGATAAGTAATGCGAAACTATGAAAAATGAGTAGCTGTTTCTCACAGCAGCAAAGACGATTGAAGGACTGGGACATCTCTCTGTGAGGAGAGGCTGAGGTAGCTGCGCTCGTTAGTCTGGAGAAGACTGAGAGGGGATGGCATTAATGTGCATAAATATCTGAAAGGTGGGTGTCAAGAGGATGGTGCCAGACTCTTTTCAGTGCTGCCCAGCTGCAGGATGAGGATAAATGGCCATAAACTAAACCACAGTTTCACCTGCACCGGAGGAAGCACTTCTTCACACTGAGGGTGCCAGGGCACTGGAACAGGCTGCCCAGGGAGGCCATGGGGTCTCCGTCTCTGCAGCCGTTCCAGACCCTCCCGGTTCCCGTAGCCGGCCCTGCCTCGGCCTGCGGCTCGAGCGGATGCTCATGGAGGTGCCGCTGCGCGCAGCCTCCGCCAGGTGGCAGCAGCGGCCCGCGCCGGGCGCACCGCGGCCCCGAGGAGGCAGCCCCGGCCTGTGGGGAGCGCGGCCCCGGCCCCGGCCTCGCACCGGCCCGCGGCGCTCCCGCCTCCCCGTCGCCGCCGGGCCCGGTGTGGAAAGCCGCCGTGCTCGCCCTCACCTGCTCGGTTCGTCGCGGTGCCCTCTGCAGGCTGCGGTTCGCCCTCCCGCATCCCGCAGCAGGGAAGGGGAGCAGGCCTGGGGCAGCCCTTGGGAGCAGCTGCCGCCCGCTGCAGCACGTGTCCCGGCACGGCTCCGGCTAAATTAACTGCTCCTGCGGGGGAAAATAACAAACAAAACAAACAAACAAACCCCACCCAAACCAAAACCAACAACAACAAAAGATACACTACCTCAGAAATCTCTCTCCTGCTGGAAAAGGAGGAAAGCTTTGTATACACTCTGTCTAGAATGAGCCCCTTTACACTCATAAAGGCTTTAGAGGCGTTTTGGGGCTTCTGCCCATGTTTGTACTACTTTCCCAGCACCACTGTTACAATGTATTTCATTAAAAGCCAATGTCTCTACATCAGAACGAATTGGTGTTATTGGTGAGCTTAGTTTTATTTTGCTTTATTTTTCTCCCCCAAATCTTGTTGAGCTGTTAGGAAGCCTTGCCTTCTTTCCTTGCTGTTGAAAAAGAAAATATCAAGCAAAGTATGTAATAGTGAAACATGCATAGCACTCAATGTACTCTGACAAATCATGGTACTAAATTGAAGCTCTAGATGGGAGAACCCAACAACAGCAATGATTTGAGAAAACTCAGTACATAGATGTAGTTTAAGTCAAGAATGTTCTGAAAAAGAGGCCCTAAGGATTATCCATGTTCTCTCCTATAACAGATGCTTCTGAAATCTGCTTATTGGAAGAAATACATTTTAATTTAGACATTCCAGCACTTGCAAAGTATATTTATGACAGAGCTGAAAGCAGGTGAGGAATGCACATTGTTTGAAGGTCTTGGAGGATATTCTGAACTGTGGAAATGAAGGTTTCTTAAAATTCCTGGCAGTGCTTGGAAAATCTGTAGTATTTGTAAGTTTAAATTATTTTGATGGTTAGAAATGTCAGATTCCTTTGAACTTTCTTTTCAGCTTAATTTTAAGAAATACAGAAGGCATGGGGAGGAGAATCAGCTTTTCTATGGCAAGATTAGATAAAGAGGCATTTATAACAGGTCCATGTCTGTGACCAAAGGTTCTGCAAGATATGATTTATAGCTTGGAGGTGTTTTCCTCCTGGTCCTTACCACCCATCCCCCCCAAAAAAGTTGGTGAATGCAGTAGAACCCATGTCCCTGTGGCAGGCACGTGCAGTTTGCACGCACAGCTGAGGATGGCCTGCTGGGACAGCACCTCAGCACTGTGTTCATGGCACAAATGGGAGGTGTGTGCAGTGAGGAGTCAGCAAGTTATTTGTGACAGACCCCTCTGCCCACTGGCTCAGGGCAGTGCCCAAGTGCTGCTGAGAATCCCTGCTGCTGCAGCAGGTCAGCTCCCTCCCCTCAAATTCGTAGGAGATCAAGCGTGGGACAGGGGCCTCCTCCCACCTCTGCAGATTTTCAATCAAATTACACCTGTCACAGTTTTTATTTATTGTGGTGTTTTTCTTCAGATAAATTTAGCTCTAAAATTAAGCTCCAAATTTCATACCCCAAGGCATGAACAATTTGAGCTGTTTGTTCCTTGGTGCAGATATGAAAATGGCTGAAGTATAGATCAGGCCAACATATATTTATTTTAAAAAGCTCATAAAAGTAGGCAGAGTTTAGCTGGAAAAGATCTGCCAGTACTTGCAATAGTGATGTTAAATGATCCTCCCTATTTGAATCCAATATTATAAGAACAGACCAGTTTGAAATGGACACAGGAGAGAAGGGTAATTTGTAGTGTGTTACTACCTGAAGCTAAACTACAGACAGCAGAATTAATTCATTTACATACACTTCAGTGTTTGTTTAAAATGTATGAATGAAAGTAGCTCATTTACTTACTTTACTCTGTGTTCTGCAAGCTTTCTTGGGGCATTGTATGTGTATTTATATATATACATGTGTGTGTTTATGTGTTTGTTTTTTCTTTCCAGGACTTTGACTGTTGTTGCAAAGTATAATTTGCATTCTCCACTTCTGTTAAGCAGAAGGACTCTTTTAATAGATAATGTTTCTTGCACTCAGAATCAGTTTAGTGTCCTCTCATTCCCTGTGTTTCTGAAAGGTAGCCTTGTGGCACAACTGCATCTTGCTGTTGTTTTTAAGGTGTATACCCCACAATCCTAGCATTCCTCTTGGGAAGTAGGTAGTTATTGATGTTGTAGCTGGGTCTCATTAGTTATCTGCTGTCTATGTAAAGCACTCTCCAATTATACCATCAGGTACCTGTTGCTAAGCTTCATTTATCTTTGCCTTCATTGTGATTTTGCTGTAGCAAATTCTCTTGCATCTGTGAGAGTTGCTGTTTATTCCTTAATACCTGATGTTTTACAGTCTCCTGGCCTGATTTTTCCCAAACATCTTTGTATAAGTAATAGGAACTCCTCAACTTTCTGTTCTTGTCCTCCTAGCTCATAGCTGCAAGAAAAGGCAGACAGTGCGACATACAGTTTAATAAAGACTCTATTGTGTTTTTGGTTTCTCCAGGAGACTTCATTTTCTCAAGCACTAATTGCAATGCTGTCTTTATAAACCTTGTTCTCTTCTCCCCCAGGATTTGCAGATAGAGCGAGAGAGGACCGTGTATAACATTTCTGGTGGCTGCACAGCCCTGGTGGTGGTGTATTTATTGGGGAAGCTTTATGTGGCAAACGCTGGGGATAGCAGGTAAGTGTGTTGTCTCCCCATCTAATCCTTCACCCCTAACTGCCCAGGCCTGATGATACTGAGTCCCTTAAAGCAGGCAGCATCACAAGAAGATTCTGTTTCTTGGCTGGACACTTAGCACTTCTCACAGAAGTGAATGCAAGTGCCAGAGATAGCGTTCCAGTATCTTGAGCAGTGGTTGCAGTCAAAGAAGTGATAGCACTTCTGGTCCTGTAGAAGTTTCTGAATGACTTGATGTTTGCAGAGAAGTGGAAAGGTGCTAAAAAGCCATTGAAACAGACGAGGTGTTGGGTGTGTAGTAGAATTGTGTGTTGAACACTGACAAGGTGACTGTATCTGGAACAGCTGGTAGGGCTACATTTGTTCCATGGAAAGTCCTTTGGCTCCTGTTGCCAGGCTTAGTCTTGATAGGCCATTTGGCTTCCAGATTTTCGTGTAATTGAAGGTAGTGATCAGTATGCAAATAGCTGCTACTCTTGCCCTAGGGGAGGAGGAGAGGGAAACAGGCTAATCACAATATAGGTTTTTTGCCTTGTCCTGCTTTAGCTCAAGTACTTGTCCAATTCTCAGAACTGAATGCTGCTGCTCAGGAGCTGTTGCTTTACTTTATTTTGAAGTTGGGTTCTTGAAGAATCATGATAAGTAGCATTTTCTTTGTCTTCTGATGTTGCTAAAGATAGGAGCATACTGGAAGTCTCTCACTTGCATTCTTTTCCCCTCTCTAACCCTGCCCTTACCACCATTGGAGAGAGATAATGAGGCTCTTCTTGCAAGACTTCAGACTTCACATGTTTCTTTTGGCAGTGCACTGCATAAACAGGGCAGGGAGAAGAGTTCACATGCAATACTAACTGCTCATGTATTCTGTTCATTAATAGCTGAGTAATTGACATCTGCAAGGGTATCGAACCATGTTGTCTTGATGCCTAAAGAGGCTACCTGGAACAGAGGGTAGACAATGTTAAAGGAGTAAAGTAGGTATTTATTAAAAGGCCTTTAAAGGACACACCTTGGGCAGTACAAGAGCCTGGCCGTGGCTCCACCCAAGATGGATGACTGGTCATGATTCTTCACACTTTATGTTTTGGTCCATTTACAAATCGGGGTTAATTGTCCAATTGCAGCTTCAGATTATGAAGTCCCATACTCCCAGTTTTCTCTCCTCAATTCACTGCTGTTTACACGTTTTGTGGCTGAAACTTTAATGATATCCTTGGTTCTCAGGCTGGAAAAGGTTTGTTTTGCCTAACTAAACTGTGAAGGGAATTTGCTAACACTTTATATGAAATTCAGAGTTACGTACTAATGCAGTTCAGAATCTGAAAAATATGAAAGCTAAAACTTAAGGCATCAGTTTTTAGGTGAAGACTGCTATGTTTGTGTTTAAGGTTTGTGCTTACACAGTTCATGTTTGTAGTGTGTACACCCAAATACTTTCAGAAACATACTTTCAAAACACTCAAGGTTTTTGTAGTTTAAACCTCAGATTTTTATTTTCTTTTGCTGCTTTACACTGTGTAGGAAGGCAGATAAATCCTTTGCGCATAAAATTCCCGTTCTTTTCATGTTGCTGATTGTTTTTAAGATGCTAAATTTGCTGTTTGTGTTGCAAGTTGTTCACTCAGTTTCTATTGACAAGTGTCATATTTGAATCTCCTTTTTGTATCAAATGTCAAGTGAGTCCTCACAGGGTAGCTGCAAACATGTTTGAGGTGATCACCTATCTGGTCAGCAGAGCTACTAGCTGAAATACATTATATTTCTTCTGCCATTAAATGAGAAATAATCATGTTTTCCTGTGCTATTGCACTTGAAGTACAGTTGAGCCTCTTTCTCTGAGTTGACTAATTTGCTTTATTGTCTCTTCAAAGTGTTCTGTGTAAAACTGGGTGTGCAGGACTTACATCTGAGTAGCCAAGATCTTTGTTCTCAAATGACTGGAATTGGCTGCTTCCAGTTCCCTCAGGATTCCTTCTGTGCTCCCTGAGAACAGCCTCAGCTCCACTGCAGCCTCTGATACCCAAGTGCAAGACACTGCTGTTGGTGGTGATCTGGAGTTGGTGCCAGAGTATTGGTGTCACTGTAGTTAAACACACTAAGTCTTCAAGAAGTTTTGCATGTTCACTAAGTCTACCCAGAACATCTGTTCAGAAAAAGGAGGAGGGCAGGAAACAAAAAGGAGACCATCAGGAAGATTGGGTGTTGTTTGAACCAGGATTCAAATTCTCATTCCTAACATCTTGTTGGTAATAAAGTCCCTCCAGATTCAAAATAGTTTGGTTTTGCACTTCCGAAATGGATCTCACAGAAAGTCTCTCTTGTGCTGAGGAGAATTGTTTCAAAATGTTACATTTTCAGCCAAGTCCATTCCTAGACTTCCCTTGCTCAAAAGAAATTTTAAAACTTTAAATTGTAGATCAGTTGGTTTGAGTCTCTCTCCCACGAAACCCCCTCTTTCCCACTTACAGGGAAAAAAACCAGCTGTTGCAAAACATCCGGGTTGTTTTCATGACACAAATGACATTTTAGGGCTAAACAAGCCACTCTGAGGTCATCTGCCCCCTGCCACAGTGCACAGTGCATTCTTGTATTTTGAGGAGCCCAGTTTTGTAGTCAAGAAATTTTACGTGTGTTAGTTGGGAAAAATAAGTGTCTTTTTGCTGTCTCATGCCTTTTATAGTCAACTTAGTTGTTTCTACAGATAAAAGGGAGGGCAGTGAGAAGTACAGTAAGGAAACTACTTCAAGAAATGGTTATCTTCTCTTGAGAAGAAGGGTGGGTTTGCTTTTTCTCTCAAACAGGGGACTTCATCTTGTTGCTGTTGGAACTAGATGATGAAATCCTTAGTTTTTGGTTTCTCTGAGTTCACCTACTCATTTCTACCTTTCCCCTGTCCTCGTTCTCCTCCTTCCCTCTCTGCTACCCCACTGGAAAAAGCGTGCAAATAAATCAAGTTTCCCACAGATAGGAATCCGTGACCGAAGGTTTTGTGTGGGAAATAAACATTTTGGGTTCATGCAAACCTAACCAAAGGTTAGGCTTTATAATTTCAGGGAACTTCAAAACAGCAGAAGCTTTTAAAGTGGGGTTTTGAACAGCTTCTGCTGTCAGAGGACCAAGGTATGTGCAACAAACTGTTACTATCACAATGAGACTAAGGAAACGTTAAGTGTGAGACTTGAATAATAATGTACTGTGTGGTGCCAGCTATACCTCAGACTTATGTCTGTGGTATTCAGTTTATCCACCAAAGCTTCTCAAATCTAATCATTTCATGCCACGTACCCTGGCAGTGTTGTATAGCAGCTGTCCTTTTGTAGTTGATGTGTAATTCCATCATGAAAAGACTTTAATTACCATATTACTAAATTACCAGCCAGGAATCCTTTCAGGTTCAGCCCTAGCTCACTTCTGTATGGACTATTAGGCATCTCCAAGCTGAACACTTTTGGTTGGTGTAAAAGGGAGGAAAAATTGTGCTAATTGTAGGTTTTGTTATGAACTATTATTGAGCTTGATGTTATGGCATCACTAATGTCAATGATATAATTAAACTTCTGCTAACGATGCAATCACAGTTCTGTAATAATTATATGTTAACTGCACATGATACCAGAACCCTACTAAAAATGAGGTGATGTATTCAGAGCCTGATAAAAACAACTTGGAAGGAACTGCTTTCATTCTCTAATGGCTTGTCTGATCATTCTTGGACTCTGCCATAAATATACCTACTTGTACAGTCAAAATTCATATCTGAATATTGGCCAAAGCTTTTTCTGATGTTTCTTTCTCTCTCCTTCATCTTTTCAGTGATTAGCATTGTCCATGCAGGGTTATCTGATTAGGGACTGATAGTGCTATAGTCAGCTCTCCAATATATAGTGCTTTTTTTGGTGAGCATCGAGGCGCTGTGTTTTGCTTACCAGAATGACATATTTGCTATGAAAACTAGGCCATTGGAATAGCTTCTTTTTATTTATTTTCTTTTTAAAATATGGAATACTAAATCTTCTCTGGTCATGGTTTTAAACAGTGTTGTTCAATTTTATATTGCTAAAGTGACTTTTACATCTAAACTGCCATGACACGCCTTGTTAATCTCAGTTCCTTTTAGTTTAATGCTCTTTATTAGGTTGTTGTTTTATAGTTACTGATGAAGCAGTTGTAAAACAGGGACTTAATGTTTTTACTGATTACTGCCCAATTATTGTATAGCTTCATGCAACATAACATTTGTCCAATATCACTGCAATGACTGTAATGCAATATGATCATATTAACCATGTTTGGCACAGGCATTGTTCTGGCTTTTGTGTTGTCTGGAGCTGCTAGGAGACTGCAGGCACTTCCATTTTGTGCTGTGCTTGGAGCCACATAGGGAAGCTGTGCCTTTATCATTATACAAGAAGCAGAACATTGCAAGTTGATTTGACTTTTCCATACAGCCTGAAACCCTCACTGAATCTGCAGATGGGTTCTTGGGCTTTTCCTGATTTATTGACAGAACATGGCGTGAAAGCAAAGAGCCTGATGTTTCAAAGGCTTCAGAGACTTGCAGGGTCACTGAATTTTCTGCTTTGCTTCATCAGCTCTTTTTTATCATGTTTTTGCCTGCTTGCTTTTGCTCCCCAGGATTTATGTTTTCAAGGCATATTCACACTCTACTTGAACATACCTCCTCATGTCCAAAATAGATTTTCTCCTCCTTTTCCAAGTGTAAAATTACTGCTAAGGCATTTTGGCTTATTAAATGGTAGGAGCTCATTGAGTGAATATTTTTGTGATGGTTTTGTGTGGGTGCAGGTAAAGTAACTTCGTTGGTACTTCAAGAGACCAGGTGTGGGAGAGTGTGTTCGTAAGAGTCTTCTCCCAGTGTAATAAAATAGTGAATTGAAAATTGAATTTGTTTACCATTTCAATTATTTTTGAATTTGCTGCTTGTGTTGAAGCTTACTACATTTATACTTCCTCTTCTTTGTCATGGTGCTTGTCTGCTG